GGAGATGGGGAGCCGAGGTGTTTTCCGCCTTTTGTATTTTTTTCGTGTCTGTCGCCACTACACTGCAGTTCCCCCCCCCCCTCCTTTCTGTCGAAATTTTGACTAAGATTTGTCATTTTGTCATCAAACTGACGTCACTGTGGGCGTTTTGTCGGAGTGTCTTGCTGGCTCGGGCCGATGATGATGGTGGGAAAGGGCATTCGGGCGGAACTCGCATCGGATTGCAGGGCGAAGTCCTTCGCGGCCGTCGTCGCTTTAGATCCGGACGGTCCTTCGGCGACTCGGGTCGCTCGTTCTGGGCCAGTTCAAGTGCTGTAGGGCAAGCCGTGGGGCAAGCCGTGGGGCTTGACGCGCAACGCAGTCGACTCGACACTCTCGGCACCACGCACTGGAGGCCCCCGAGCCGGGCCCCAAACACACTCAAACCCCAAGCAAGCGGGGCGCGGGCCAGACACAACAAGGCTCAGGCTCCGTGGCTGCGAGGCTCACATCGCGGCCTGACGTCAGTGGCGGATCCAGAGTCGGCACAAAGGGGGGGGGGGCAAAGTAGCACTTTTTGCCTACTTACAGGGGCAAATTGGTGCTTTTTGCCTACCTTTCAGGCGGCTATCTAGGGGTCAAGGGGGGGGCAATTGTCCTTTTGCCCCCCCCCCCCTGGATCCGCGCTTGCCTGACGTGGGCCCCACCGAGGGCCCCACGGACCTGCGAGGGCCGCCGCCAAGGCCCCCCCGGGCGCAAAGGTCCTTGGCGGCATGCGGAGTCGGGAGGGTAGGCACCGCGCAGCGCACCTGCCAGACACGATGTAGAAACGCTCCTATGGAAAAACAGCCGTCCGTGGCGTATCTACATCTAGACCACAATCAATCCTTTGCCGGTTCGGGCCCCGTGCGTAACTGGAACGCCCCATGCGTGCGCGAAAGACAAAAAACGACTGTCAGAGTCGGTCTGCGCGTAGCCGCGGGAGCCGCACTGTGAGAAAAAAAGTACGGAAAAAGTACGGAACATGTCTGGTCAATAATTTGCCTGGACCGTCCGTACTTGCCAACTACGGAACGTTCCGTACCTTTTTTCCGTACCCATTTACATGGGTTCATATGGAGCAAGTACGGAACGTTCCGTACTTTTCTCCGTACCTCCGTACTATATTTTTCTGTACCATTTCCCTACAAAAGTACGGAATTTTTTACAGTGCGCGGGCGTTCGAGAGACAAAGCGACAGAAGCATACAAATTGATCCAGGACCGGTCGAGGCTGCGTGTCGCCGCCGTGTCACAAAATTGTTGGCCCGGACTGTAGGCCATCTGCCGCCAGATTCCTAGAGTCCTTTTCGTCGCTGTCTCTCTCGCACTCATGGGGCGTCCCCTGTGGGTGCGAGAGAGACAGCGCGACGACTCTCGGAATCGGGCTGCTGGCCACTGCTGGCCGCCGCTGGCCGCCGCACCGTCCGAGCGCTTCGACGAACCGTCACACTGTCCACGACGTAGAAACGTAGAAGCGTTTCCACATCGTGCTCTGTCCCTCTCGCACCCGCCGTGCACACACCCCTGCGACCCTGCAGGGACGACCCACGAGTGCGACGGAGACAGAGCGACGGCAGGGCGCGGGACTTTCCGGGCGGCAACCCGCAGGAAGCTTAGCCCGTCCAGTGGCCTCGGCTGCAGGGTCGCAGGACTGCGGGGTTGCAGGTTCCAGTCCAGGAGAGATCAACACAATGCGCTGATTGCAGAAAGAGGCCGCCGCGGATGGCCGGTTGCCGGTGCCGTGCCGGTGCCTGGCCTTTGGCCTCGCCGATGCCTCGGCTGTAAATCCGCGGGCTTGACGTGACAGGCCGGCGGGTGGATGGCTGCTCGGGCGTGCCGCGTGTCGCCGTGTCGTGTCGCCGCCCCGCAGACTGATTCTCCCGCGGCCTGTCTCTCTCTCACTTCCACTCGTGGGTCGTACCGCACGGCGAGAGAGAGAGAGGGGGGACGGTCGCACTCTGCGTTGGTCCGCCGGCCCGCCAGGTCCGAGGCCCGCCGCCACTGCGTCGCCGCTCCAGACAGCGCCTGGCTGATCCCTCCATTGTTGCCCGGCACGCCAACATGCCGAACTGCTGCACTAGTTCCACATGTCCAGCAGACAACGCGCCCGGCAACGGGACTGCCCCGCATCTGTTTCGGAGTGCCTCGGCTCGCCTCGGTCCTGCTATCGGAGGGGCCGGCTCTCAAAGTGCCGCGACTAAATTGTTATTTACATGCGAAAAGGAAGTGAGTGCGCGGCCGATGCGACTAAACTGCCGCCCACCCCTCGTCCCCAAAATGGTGGGCACCACCGGGTGCTTCCAAGAGTGGTTCGCTGAAGGGGGCGGATTGGGGGCGGATTGGGGGGCAGCTGGGGGACAGCTGGGGGACAGCTGGGGGACAGCTGGGGGGCAGCTGGGGGGCAGCTGGGGGGCCTCCTGGACCAACCGCAACAATAACAATAATGAGACTATCGCCCCAGTCCCACGCCATCCTGAGCGAGCCCAGTACAGAATTTATAGTTGAGGCGCCAAAGGGTTGGAGTACTGGCCCCCCGGGCCGACCGAGATTAAAAAAGAAAAATAAAGTGTGGCACTCCGGCCGGCCGCTGGTACGAGCTACTCCAGACAGTCTTTCCTATATAAAATGTGGCAACAAAACAAAGAAGTTTGATTAGCGGAGGAAGGGAAGGGAGTGACCACCGGCCCCCGTGCCTCACGCAGCGAACAAACGGCATCCTCCTGCATAGCAGTCAGAACGCCTGCCTAGGCTGGGCTGATCTTGGCTGATGCACTCGCCACGCCTCCGCCGCCACCGCCTCACCGGGTCGCCCGAGACAAAGTAGCCAAAGGGAAGGGCAAGGGCAAACTCTCATCCTTCAAACGACCGCTTTAATATTCATTAACGTTTGTGCCGGTTTGTGCGCATTGGTAGAGTTTTGTTGGGCACCACCGGGTGGTTCCAAGGGTGGTTCGCTGAGACCGGTTGGGGGCGGGGGCGCAGCTTGGGGGCGGCTTGGGGGCAGCTGGGGGGCAGCTGGGGTGCAGCTGGGGGGCAGCTGGGGGGCAGCTGGGGGGCAGCTGGGGGGCAGCTGGGGGGCAGCTGGGGGGCAGCTGGGGGGCAGCTGGGGGCAGCTGGGGAGACAGCTGAGCTGGGACATGAGCGTGGCAGAGTCTTCGTTGCCGTCAGCTACATCCAACGATTTGGTGCAGTTCTTTGAACAGTTTGATCGAGCGAGGCTCGATTTTGAAGGTGAGATGACCGCCGGTCGGGAAGTGAGTTTGTGTGTGTGCACGCGCGCGCCGCACCCAACCTCGCTCCAGTCATGAGCGGTTTTCGATTGCAACAGGGTACGCAGATGCACCGGATAATTGAGTAGGCTCGCCTGCCACGCCTCCGCCGCCCCCGCCGCCCCCGCCGCCCCCGCCTCGCCCGAGGCAAAGTAGCCAAAGGGCAAGGGCAGGGCCTGGGGCGCCGTCACCACTGCCCGCAAGCAGCTGCACGTCAAACAGGTGCAGCCGCCGCCATGCGGTCCGTTGCGCCCGCGTTGCGCTCGGCCCTGCAGGGCCGGCACGGCGAGCGAGGACACTAACCACCCCGATGACCCGCCGGACACGGCCGGACGAGGGACGCTGCTGGACGCTATGGCTGGACGCGGCGCCACCCCTCCTAAGGCGACCCCGACCGCGAGGGCGCCCACGCAGAGCGGCGCCAAGCGGCGCCAAGCGGCGCTCGTCCGGCCAGGCACCGGCTTTGCTGTACACACAAAAACGACTCTCGGAATGGTGTGCTGGGGCGACGCGGGCGACGCGACACTGACGTCACCGTTGTTCGGTTTTTTGGGTGCGGTGGGTGAGGTGTGTTCATAACCGTGCACAGGTCGAAACACGCATCGGCAGGATGCTTCGTGCGATTGTGCCTTCCACACGACACCTGGTGATAGCGCCCCTAGGACCCCCACCACGTCGAACGGCATACCTCCTGGCACGATTGCAGGAACACCACTCGGACGGCCAGGTAGGCGTCGAACGCCGACACCACGTCCATGACGACCACCAAGGCGACCGCCGCGAGGAGCAAGGGCCAAAGCACTGAGGGACGCCGGGGTGTGCCTACCCCTTCGGAGTGTACCCCTGTACTCGCGGGGCGGGGCGGGGCGGGGCGGGGCGGGCTTGGGCGGGGCGGGGCGGGGCGGGGCGGGGCGGGGCGAGGCGGGGCGGCGCGAGGCGGGGCGGGCGTCGAACGCCGCGCCCGCCCCCCGCGCACAGGCGCGCACAGGCGCGCACAGGCATGCAAAATGCACCAAGTGCAGGTGACTGTCCTTCCGGTTCGAACGCTCCCTCTCTCTCGCACCCCAACGGGACGCCCCACACAGACAGAGTGAGGAAGCGGCTCTTTTGAATGCGCCTACTGCGCCTGCTGCCACCCACGAGTCCCTCGTCGTCATTGTCCTCGTCACTGACCTCAGGCGAGGGCCACCCCACCCACGCCCCCTCCCCTTGAACTTCTTGACTATCAATAAATACTGCGCGCGTGATGATGAAAGGGACAGGCGGGGTTGGCGGGGCGGGGCTCCCACGCGCCAAGCGGCGTGTGGCGAGAAACTACCAGCCCCAAAAAAACTAAACAGATACCTACTTGAAAAGAAAGTTACAAGTGCGGTATCTGTTTGGAATTAAAGTTTCAAAGAAAAACTCTTTGCTTTTGTATGATATCATCTTTCTGAAAAGGGTCTGAAATGGCCTACAATTATTTAAGGTCCAGCCAGTCAACCTCGTTATAAAAAGGAATCCACCCGCTTGCACGGCATGTTTCCAAGATCAAATCAGATTTCAACCTCGTTATAAAAAGGAATCCACCTGCTTGCATGGCGTGTTTCCAAGATCAAATCAGATTTCGGATGTGTTATCTAAATTGTCAAATTTGGATCTTAGAAGAAATATCTACATTACCTATTACTTCAAAGTCCTTGCTCTGCCAAGCCAGTTACCAAGGACTTACCCTCTTTTCCAGTTTCTGAAAACAAAAAGAAACACACAAAATGTAATTGACCAGAATGGGCTGGGAAACACGTCGGTTGATGATGTAAAACTTTAGAGTGAAAAGAAACCTATGGAAGAGTCTAACACACAGTCTACAACAGAGCTTCTAGTGTAAATTTTGACAAGAAAGCACGGTTCACATAATAAATTAGCAGCAAAAAATTAGAGAAAACTATTCCAACGCAGTTAACACCTCGAAATTGTGCAAACACACATGGACCAGATAATGTGTGCAGTCATACTTAGACAGCAAATGAAAAGTGCAAACTAGATGTCACAATACTTCATTGAATAGGCTTTTGGAGTATGTACATCAAAATAAAAAACTAACAAGTAGTAAATTAAAAGTTACAAGTTACAGAAACGACGGGGACGGAAACCAAGATACTCTATTGTAAGTAAGAGGACCACCTTCTTCGTGCAATACAACCATAAAACATAGAAATCCCTTTGATTTCTACAGGGTTTCAAAGAGTTTCAGGATAAATTTAGCCATAAGCTAAGTAAAGTCAAAGCCACTAAGAGCACCTTTGTTTACGCTCTGGACTTTCTAACCTAGCAAACAGCAGCCCAACAAATACATTCAGTTCCGTCGAAATTCAAGTAAATATGGACCAAGGCAATAAATAGATTTCAAAGACAGCATTACCCAAGTCAAGTGTGACCTCAATCAAAGAGGTAATAGAATTTGAGGCCGACCACTAACCTTTATAAGTTCGATGTCTTCTGAGGCACATAACTCTCCTTCTTGATCCATTGTCTCTCTTTCCCGATATCACAAGCACACACATTTTCACTCACAGACAGACGGGCACATGAGGCGTGCGAACTGTTGAAAGCATTTCACTCGAATTTTACGAGGGCCCTGCGCCCTCAATCAGAAATTTCTGGCGTCCACTGAAGCTACATTCACGATAAATGGGACATTGACAACAGTCAAACGGCCAAATCCACACTCCAGAAAACACAACTTCCACTTTCCGAAAAACACTCGCACTCGGCACGTTCTGATGTGGCCGAAAACGGGTTAAGACTGCTGCAGGACTGGACAAGTGTTTCGCTTTTGTAATCTGGACCGCAACACCCGCGTTCCGTCAGCCTGCGTCAGCTGAGCGAGCTGCTTTCTCGGGCCGCCGAGAGATGGCGCTGGCGGCGGCACGGGCTGGGGCCTCGGGCAGCCTGGCACGGGCACGGCCGCGCGGTGGCGCCTCGGCGGCAACGAGCAGCGGCGGCTGGACTGGCTGGGTGCTAGTGCCAGTGTGCCAGCCCAGTGGGCCCAGCGCCCCGCTCGCTCTCTGATCTCTCTAGCCTCTCTAGCGCGGAGCAGACCGAGACTAAAATTGCGTCATCCCGTCCCTGAGACCAACCGACAGAGTACGCGCATGCAGGGCCCAATCGGCTCCGGCCTGCCCGAGCAAAAGCTTGGAGTACATCGTCCGATTGAGGTCTTGAGATTCAGGGCGTCCCTGGCCGAGCCAGGCCGGTTTAGAGAACCCGTTAGGACGTTGACTCTCACCAATTGCAATAAAGTGATACGATTCCGGCGAAGCGGTCCGGGCGAGATTTTGTTGCAGACGCACAACTCCTTAACGATAATGCCCCTTGAAAAGCGGTCAGGTCAGTTCTCTTGTGCGCGGTAAGTAACTGTGGTCCTGGCGCACCACAGTGTACCAGGAGGAGAGGCTTGAAGTATGCACATCGATTAAAAAGAGTCACCTTGCTGGACAAACTGGTACAATGTCGCCAGAACATGCAAATGAGGTTGCCGGACGTTCACGCGTGACGCACTGACAAACAATTCAGGCCATATAAAAAGGAGTAGCACCGAGATATAGTCAGTCTGGTCTTGGCCCCCGCGAGTGCCACGTCGCAAGCCTCTGCCACCGGCCCGGCACTCGGAGCACCGTCGGTTCCTGGAATCAAGGCCTATCTTCCAGTGAGTCCTGCAACTCTGAGAATCCACACCCTTCCCTGGCTCCCCCTTCTGACAATCGGATTAGTTTCTAATTGGGTCGGAAATTGGTTTCCCCCACCACTTCCCCACCGTTCCCCGCATGTCCCCTCTCGTCTGGGGGCCAACAAACCCCTCGCCTGGGGGCCAACAAGCGGGGAAAGGTGGGAAAGTGGTGGGGAGTACCTGCTTTCCGACCGAATGCTAGTGGAACTGGCTCATCAGGGGGTTTCGATGAAAGCAAAGTGCACTGCAAAGTCATGGCTATGGACTCGCTAAGACGATGAAGCACCTGGTCAGGTAAAAGGCTGAGAAGTCCTACCTAATCACTTTCACCAAGAGTGCAGCTATCTTAGCTTGCCGAGCGGTCGCGAGCGAACCTGCAACCGACTGGAGAGCGCTTCTGACTGGGCAGCATGGCTAGCAACGAGCGAGCTCGGGCTCGGATGAGGTTCGGCTTTCGGGCTTGCTCGGGCTCGTCCGTACATGCTCGGGCTACGTTCGGTTTCCGCCGGACTAAACCGGTGCGCGAACCAGATAAAACCGGTGCGATCCAGTGAGACAAGCGGACACGGGGCTCGCTGGTTGGCTGGGGAGGGGCACACGAGCACACGCTTGCCGACGTGGCATTCGCCCGCAGTCGCCGCATTCGCCAACGCAACGTCCTCCACCACGAGCTCAACGAGTCAGCATCGTTCCCATGTTGCCAGAGCGCAGCCGCGCAGCCACGTAGGCGAGTGAGCGAGCCAACGTTTTGGTCATTCCCTCTACAGTGTTGCCGCGGCGCCACGCGGCGCACCCAGGCAGCCGCGCCGCGGCGCGCCGCCAACGCGCGACCCCCGCCTCGCGCGGCGCGGAACGCGACGGAGCGGCTTTTGGGCATTCCCTCCGCGATGCGGTAACGCTTGGGCATTCCCTCTACTTGCCCTGTCCGAAGTGAAAGGAGTCGGGTGCATGCAAAGACCGATCCCGTCTTCGGCTTTCCCCCAGTAAAACCGTCGGCATCCAACTGAAGAAGCGCCCGAGAGAGTTCCGAGTCAGCTAAGTCGGATTTTCCCGTTTTGAAAAATCTCGCCTGGGTTTTTACCTCTCTACTGGTAACGTCAGATTTCCCCTCCACAAGCGGCGGCGCCTTGCTCTCGCACTGCCTGCTCTCTTCCTGATTTGAGGCGACATCATCATCACAGACTTTTCGTGTTACGAGGGGCCTTTGCGGGAAACTCAGATTTGGATTTTCGGATTGCAGATGGTGCAGATGCACATTCAAATGTTGGAGGTCCTCTAGTGCCCCCTACCGGGCGTGGAGAGGGGAGACGGGTGGAGCAGGGTGAGCAGGGGCCGCGCGACCAGCCCCGCACCCCACGCTCCGTGCCCCCCCGGCCCCACCGCGCTCCGTGCCCCCCCGGCCCCACCACGCTCCGTGCCCCCCCTGCCCCACCGCGCTCCGTGCCCCACCTGCCCCACCACGCCCCGCATCTGCCCGCATCCAGCCGCGCCGCGCCTTCCTCCCGCCAGCCGCCAGCCAGCCGCCGCCGCCGGCCAGCCAGCCAGCCAGCCAGCCAGCGGTTGGTCGGTCCCCCAGCCCAGGCCCAGAGCCCAGCCGCCCAGTCCGCGTCCGTCCCGTCCCCGTCCGTCAGTCTGTGGCTGCCTGCCGGCGAGCGAGTTCGAGAGTGCGACGCGCACGTAGCGTAGCCGCCGCCAGCGTGCTGCGCCTTGTTGATTCGGCGCGCGACTACGAGTTGGTGTGATTCCGAGCGAGTCTTTCTTCGTGTCGCCGCAGTGTCGCGATGGAGTCCGGAGGGGACAAGAACAAGGAGTTTCTGCGATGGATCCGGGCCCTGCCGTCGGACCGCCGCAAGGACGAGCTGCAGCGGGTAAGCGAGAGCGAGCGGAGCAAGCGCGAGTGGGCGACGCGCCTGGAAAACATAACCTCCTCGGCGGCCGGTCCGACGTTCTGTTTGTTGCCTTTGGACTGGGATACAGCCTTTGGGTTTGTTTGCCATTGTTTAGTTTTGAGTCGCGGGCATCCGGGGACTCCAGCACGATGTGCCCTGCAGTTTCTCTGCAGTTTCCCTGCAGTTTCACTGCAGTTTCCCTGCAGTCACTTGGTGTACCAGCCCAGCCTTTCACTACCGTTGCATTGGTGCTTTTTAAAAAGATTTCAATTGGCGCAGTGTGAAATGGGTGGGGTTTGTGCTGCCACTGTTCCAACTGTTAAGTTTGTGGCGTTGCCATGGTTTATAACCAGCTGTCTTTGTAAACTCAATCATGGCTTGTTATTTTTGTCTCGCGTTAGTTATTTCACTCAATCCTTCTGGTAGGCAATTCCTTTAAAGTAGTCATTTGAGATTGTAGGGACATTGTCGATAATTATTTATGGTTCTGTAAGTTATTATTTATGTAGGTACTGACTTAATTATTAATGTGATAGGACATATTTTGAATTTTGTGCAAAAAAGGAACCAGAGGTGGGTTTGGCCTTTTCGTGTGGGGATGAAGAAAGAATGTGCAGTTCGATTGCAGTACATATGGTAGTGCAGAGTGAAGGGGCAAATTAGTTGAATAAATTAAGGTCTCCCATGTCGTGCCTGCCTTTCTTTATGCCGTCTTAGTCAGTGTCAGAGCTTAGCACTAGAGTTATGTCAGTGCAGTAATTTTGAGGCCCAGTGCACCACATTCACATGAAAGATCCGAAGCTTGTAAAATGTTGCGTGATTTACCAATTTCCTGCGGGCTAATGTTTGCATTCCAACCTCTTTTTCTCTGCACATGTAAATAGTTTTTTTCTGTATGTTTGACGAGCACTTCAGGGTTCTCTAATCTCTTTAATAATGGCATGTGGTATATTTGCCAGCTGCGCTTGGTAATGTTGGCACTTCGGCATTCATTATGTTGAGGACATAAACACAGATTCAAGGTTGAAGCCGTAGCTCCCTCCCCTCCTCCCCCTCCCAAATTAGCATACTTCTCATGCTATCATTTTGATAGCATTTGCATATTGGTGTTTAGTGTTTGGTGAGAGACTGATTAGTTTCGTCTGTTTCTGTCTTACTAATGGGGCGGCCCGGAGGAAAGCGATAGTGTGTGCATGTGTGTGTGTGCGTGCGATGGCCTACCTTACAGGCGCCCCCATGGAAATTGCCGAGAAGTTGGGGAAAGATTTCCAAGTATTGCGCGGCTCGAAAACCCCGCGGTGAAATGCCGTCCCCGCTCCGCATCACGGTGTAGGTTACAACTTTGCACTGCGAGCTCGTCTGCGAGTGTCGAGTCGCCAGTGCTTGGCCGCGAATTCGCATTCCTGCGGCCGCGCCATGGGCCGCGCGGCCGCCTGGTGTGGGGGGTGCCGCCTCGTCGGCCCGCTTGCCTATGCGCCAGTCGGTGGGCGCAGCCTAGCGCACCCTAGCGCAGATAGCGCAGCTAGCGCAGCCCGGTGCGAGCGTCCGTCTGTCTCGCCGCGGGCTTGTACCCACTCGGCCGGCACGATACACCACCAAGGTCCATACATCCGTGGTCGTGTGGCACGGCTCCGCGCTACAGGTGGTTCCTGGCTGTCTGCCTGCCTGGCTTCTGGCTGCCTGGATGGCTTCCTGCCTGCCTGCCTGCCTGCCTGGCTGGCTGGCTTCTGGCTGCCTGCCTGGCTGGCTTCTGGCTGCCTGCCTGGCGAAGTACAGTCAAAACCATAGGCCACCCTCGTGCCTGGGATTGCGGCGTAGTCGCCGACTGGCGGGCACTTCTTTATTCTCGGGTGTTGAGGCTGCCCCTGGTTGCCCTGGGGTTGGCGACCCTTGGGTCGTCCTTGGGCTGCCTGGCCTGGCGCCATCTGGCCATCCGCCACGCGAACTGGCTATTTTTGCGAAATGTTTTGGCTGTTGCTCTCTGGAGACTCTTTGTCAGGCAGCGTGCCGTGGGCAGCTTGATTGCCACGTGGGCGTGCCGCCATCTGTCTCGCTGCAGGCTGATTCGCTGTCTCTCTCGCACTCACGGGGCATCCCGTATAGGAGAGAGAGAGAGAGAGAGAGAGCGACGGAAACGACTCTCGGAATCAGTCTGGTGCAGCCACATTTACTTCCGCCTTAATTAAAATGCACATCCGGTCCGGTTCGGTGGTTCCAGCACCTGGCGGACTTGCCGGACCACGATGGCGACTCCGCTGTTTATTTAGCGTTCTCCTTTTTCGAGTGCACCCTAGCCAGGGTTCTTTTTTGCTGGTCCCATCCCTCAGCGCCATCCTTGATTGATTGCACCCGCCTGTTGGAAAACAAATGGCTAACTGCAGCAGTGACAGTACGAATTTTTGTGATGCCTGGCTTCCCTGTCCGGGTGTGATGGTCAATGCGCGCTTGTCCACAGTACAGGGGCCGGTCTTGGGGGCACTTAGGGTTCTTGACAGTAAGAAACACTCTACTTACAAGCGTGGTGTTTATTGCAGTGGGCAGGGTGGTTGGCTCTCAGGGCTTCCTCGCTCAGATTCACACTTCACTGGACAGAGCTGCGACTCGACTCACTCGAGCTCCCCGGCGCGGCTCTATAAGTACCCGCCAATTTCGGGCATGCGCAGAGACGGCCGGGCATTCTGCATATTGCAACAAAGTGCACTCATTGCGACTACTTGCCGGCTAATTGAACTAGTTAACGGCCAATTGCTGACCTAGCGTCTGAGTGTCCAGTGCGAGTGCCGGGCGTGGCGCCCGAGTGACCTTGACGCGTGGAGAATACCACATTTTCTTTGAAATTTTCCCCTCTGAATTCATATTTTCCGATGTCGCGCATTAGTTAATTCCCGTTCGTGCGAATTTTTTTCAATTTTATTTTTGTACCCGCGCGCCCGAAGTCGCCAAAAAGTTGAAACAATTTTTTTGGTGGTAGAGATTTGCACCATTAGTGAGGCTACCCTGGGGGCAGGTAGAAGGTATAGAGAAGGCTAATTGAAATGGAAAGTCCCAACGGGATTCACGTTGGGAGTCCGGGCGCACCTTTTGCGGAAAGCCAGGAAGCCCGACCAACGCCAACCCCGCTCACGATCACAATAGGGCCCGGCTGGGTTTATTTAATTGGCTTTATTCCTGAAAGTAAATACCTAAATGTCTTTAGCAAAAGAAAAAAAGTTTCGGAAATTTCTTTTTTAGCGTAAGTTAGAAGGAAATTTACTGACTATCGCATCGCAGGGCCCGATAATACTTACTCCAATTAAGAACTGGCTTCAATATTTTCTCCTCAGTGGTTGACTATCGAAAGATGCACAGCTTTAGCTAAACTTTCGGCGGGAAAAGAAGCTCGTCTTAAGGCAAATTATGGAATACCTTTTTTTGTGGAATCTTACCCGTGTACTTTTGTTTCTCTGTTCTAGATTGTGTCTGGAGGTGTCTTGAACGGCACTTCTGCTAAGTCAGCGCTTTTTAAGCTGCAAAGGAGATGTTTCGTCAAACTGCGCCGCCTGGACATTGTGCGCGGAATGATGGCTGGTGCAACGTAAGTATTAAGGAGGAGAACCGGAATTTTAAATGTAGCGTCAGACACAAAATTACCTTCTTTTTTTTTATTTAACTAAGTGAAGGACAAATTTGCAATTTAATTCTTGTTTCGGATCCGATAGTATGAGGAATAGGGTAGTTGGTTTTCTCCTCACAGTCGCGGTCCTTCTGAAAGGGTATCGAGAAAACTTGATAAAAATCAAAATTTAAAATTGCTGTTTCTCGCAATTTAATTCTCTCTCTCTCTCTCTCTCTCTCTCTCTCTCTCTCTCTCTCTCTCTCTCTCTCTCTCTCTCTCTCTCTCATATATCTCTGTCGCGTGTGCAACATTTGTGCAACATACATGTTATTGCTTCGGAGTAAATTTGAACTTGCGACTTATGTTGCAGGGCGTGTTCCAGTGCCGCACCCATTGCTCCAGCGGTTGCTGCTCCCACCCCAGACCTGCCACCCAGCCCATCACCTCTTCCTTGCCCGTCTGCCTCGCCTTCTCCGTCATCGCCTCCCCTCAAGCCCAAACGTCTTCCGGGCGCGTCTAGACCGTGTCCATTGTCGCGCAAGCGACCATCCGATACAGTCAGAGAAGAAGACAGCAAGAGATCAAGAGGTTGCTCTGAGGCGCCATCGGCCGATTGTCCGAAAATTGACCTTCAGTCTTACCCACAACCGGCGGAGCCTTCGTTGCCTTGTGCTGTCTCAGATCAGCCCAAGGTGCCTTTGTACCTCCCTCAGCCCAAGGAAGCGCGTTCTTCAGATCTTCCACAGACCAAAGAATCTCAGTCCTCAGGTCATAGCATCACCAAAGAAGCTCTGTCTCTAGGCCTGGAGAAGTCAAATGAAGCTCAATCTGCAGGTCTCTACCCTCCGGATCGCAAGTCTTCACATGTTTCTCAGTCCGAGAATCCACAGAAATTGCGCAACTCTCAGAGCAATCCACCAAAGCCAGCACCACCACATGCGGAGCCTTCGAAGCAACTGCCTACGAAGCATTTGGCAACGCCGCAGTCACAGCTGCCTCACCAACGGGTCTCTTTGAGTTCTCGAGTTATAGAAGTAGCTCTTAACGATGTTGCCAAAAGTATCCACGACGTAGAAACGGAGCTGTTCAATATTGACCAGAAGTTAATTTCGTTTGAGAAGTTGCCTCCGTCTCACAAAACGAGCCGCACGATTTCCGCATTAAGTGAAACCTCCTCTTTGATCTTCATAAAGGCTGGGGTGATCAAGTCCTGTGTAGAGCGTGGCATTGTTGATAGCTTAAGTTCATCCTTTTTCCCGAAGCTTCTCAGTGAAGTTAACAAAATTCCACAGCTTAAGCTTTACTCACGTTTAAGACTTATGGCTATGGTAAACTTATTGTTGAACTTGGCCAATCCGAACAATGACCCGAACTACACGATCCGCGCGTTCATGGCCCAAAACTTGGTTGAATTGCGCCCCGCAGAAAACAATATGGCAAGCAAGCCGTCAAAGCAGCCAGCTCCATCAGTGCCAGCTGCAACAAGTCGACCCCAGGTGACGTCGATTCAAGTGTCTTCAATGTCCCAAGCAACTAACTTACCTCCATGCATAGAGGCTGTTAGTTACCCAGGTCGGAACGTTGAAGTGACGCCGCAGCAGCCACAGCATGTGATGCAGCAAGCAGCAGCACCGCATCCAACCACACTCATGCAGCAGCAAGAGCAACAGCGGCAGTATCAGTTCTACCGGGAAGAGCAGCGGAAGCGGCAACAGGAAGAGCAATTTCTTAAGCGGCAACAGGAAGAGCAGTGGAAGCGGCGTCGGGAAGAGCAACGGCTTAAGCTGGAACGGGAAGAGCAACGGCTTAAGCTGGAACTGGAAGAGCAACGGCTGAAGCGGGAACTGGAAGAGCAACAGCATAAGCAGCAGCAGGATATGCAACGGCTTAAGCGGCAACAGGAAGAGCTGCTGGCTCAGCGGCAGCAGGCATACCAACAGCAGCAATACATACAGCAACAGCAGCTTCACCAACAACAGCAGCAGAATCAGCTTTACCAACAGCAGCGACACCACCAGCAATACCTGCAGCAGCTACAACAACAGAAACAGCAACATCAGCTGCAGCAGCAACCGAAGCAACATCAGCTACAGCAACACTCGCAGCAACATCAGCTACAGCAACACTCGCAGCAACATCAGCTACAGCAACACTCGCAGCAACATCAGCTACAGCAACAATCGCAGCAATATATCAGAACTTATGGCCCGGCTGTACGCCATCTGTCAGTAGTGCAGCAGCAAACTACCTTGCTGGGAAACCCCGCGCAGCAGCAATCCACAAAGCATCCCACTCAAAACAACAGCGGGTCAGCAGCGCAGATGCAGCAATCCGCTCAACATAGCAATGCCGCTAATCCCATGCAGGGAGTGCCGAATCAGGTGTACCAATATCAAGCCGCGAGTAGTGACCCTCTTCCTGCAATGAGTACGCCTGGTTTTAATCTGAAGACGCTGCTGCTGAGTTCATCTGCAACGCAAGTTTATTATTCGCCTGCTCAACCTACCCTCCAGAGTGTGCCTGGGTCGGCACTTGCGTACGACACGCCCAACCATCAGCTGCCCCGAGAGCAACAGGGATTTCCAAGGGACAACAGAGGCGAGACGACACCACAGGTGTTCATGGCGGGGCAGGAGTATGCGCAGGGCGGCATTGAATATGTAAGTTGAGTTTTTCCGCGTTGATTTATAGGGTTAATGTTCAACAATTTAACTTTTCTTTGTTTGGGCAGGTTAACCAAGTTTCCCCTGTAGCACGGACGTTATCCAGGGATAGCGGAATTGCAACTCCTGAGCCAGCAGCAACACAGGTGAGATCTTCTTAAATTTCCTCGAAATATTTTAAAGTGAGGTTTTTGTGATAGGTTCTCCCAGCAAGCGAGATGCACTTAGTTTTTAAGGTTGTCTTCTATGCAAACATTGTCCTTTTTTTTTGTTGTGCTGACATTTTTGAAGTCGTACAATATAGCACCTCATTTACGTCCATTCCCCCCAAAAAAGGGGGTTAGAAATAAAGCAGAATGTTTGTACAGTCATACAGTGCCAGTTGCCCTGCGCCTGTTCAAAGCTTTTCCGATTTACTGCTGTTTTTGTGTTTATCCTATGCGTTTTGTTTGTTGCAGTGTGATGACACATACCTACGGAGTGCCGCGTCGGCTGCCGCGTGGAAGCCTAATTATTGATTATTGTTAAATGATTATTGTACCTTTATTTTTCAGTACTTTTTATGTACAGTTAATTATTTAGAGTCTGTTCTCCGGCTATGTGCCATGTACATTAGACTGATACTTATAAGAAATTTATGTGTATTCTTCTTTAAAATACTTATGAGAGATTTATGTGTATTCTCCTTTAGAATACTTATTACAAATTAATGTGTGAAATACTTTGCTACAAATTTATGTGTGTTCTTTAAAAACAAAATCAAAACTTGTATTTAAAGAAATTTGATATTTTTCTTAAAACGAGCGTTGATATTCCCTGTATCGCTTTATTTGTCAAAGCTATCAAAAAAGTTGTCGTTGTTTTACATCTTTTAACAGAGTAGTTATATAAACACCAATGTTTATGTATTTATGTAACTTTATAAGACCAACTGTAGGTTCGATGCTAAAAATGTCAAGATGAATTTCCAAGTCAACTTTGGTCTTTCTTTCTTGTCAACGGGTATGATCTGCTCAGACAATTTCTGTCACTGACCGAGCACGTATGTCGTTCACATTTTGCAGTTGGATTTTTAGTCATGAGTATATTAATACAACAACCATGAAATTAATTGTTGCATCAATTTCTTATCGCGTTGAGATACGTTACCGGCCACTGACCCTACCCAAAATTGTCTTTTCAGATTTTTTTACTGTTCCTGCAAAGCACTTAAGTAGTTTGTGTTTTCCAATAGCAATTCAAACCACACTGTTGATTGCATTTTTTTTCTTTTGAAACCTTGATTTGTTTATTTGCACAGCTGCATTTGTCTAAAGTTGTATTGCTTGAACAATTTAAGGACAAAAGTGTCGTTTTTTTTCATGAAGCGAGTTGTTTATCTCATTTTACGTATGATCTCATTTTAAGTTTATAAATTGTGTATCAAAACTGGTCGTGTTTTTTTCTCTTTTCCTTTCTTACCTGTGTGGGTTAAGGGTGGGTACACTGACAAAAATACAGAATTGATCCCTCCATCTCCCCATTTTTTTATTGGCTGAGCTCAAGTTTAACTTAAACTTAATCTTTTACTTTAACATAACTTAAACTTTAACTTGCGAAGCCCAAGGTGATCGGGATTCATGTACAGAGAGAGACTTTCAGCGTCCCACCCACTGTTACCAACTTAACACATTAGTTGCACCAAAAAACAATGTCATAAACAAGGTAAATTAAAAAATTATTTCAACACATTATTGATAAGTCATATTAAAGAAATAAATTTTGAATATTGCGATCGAATAAAATGGGTTTGAATTTGAAGGTTTATCTTTGTTTATTTCTTCATAAATATGTTGACAGGATGGCACCCTGTATAATATGTTCAGTAGGTATGAAAAATTGTTGTACCGGCCGAGAGTTTGCCGTGAATCAGCCAATAATGTAAATATGCCGGATAGGCGTAGATGCTCAATTTTAAATTGTCCTTTTTTTTTTAAAAAAAAAAAAGTATATGCAATGGAGGGAGATCAGGGAGCTCGACTCACTCGCTCGCGCAAGCGAGTGACTCACTTCGAGTTCATTCGATTATATGAAATGTGTCTACGGGATATTTAGGTCATTTAATTGGCTATTGAGTGAAGTAGGAGGCAATTTTTACCTTTCAACCCAACTTTATCCGTGGATTTTGGCTCCTGAAGCCATATTCATCTCTCTAAATAGCTACCTCGAAGTGAGTCACTCACTCACGCGAGTGAGTGAAGTGAGCTCCCCGATCTCCCTCCGAGCAAGTTAAAACAGAGGGCGAAGGGTGATATCAAATATGAATTTAACTGTTTAAACCTAATATTTATTTCTTAATCAAAGCCTATTGCCCGTTAGGGCCAGTAAGCTCAGCCAATCAGTGCCCCACTGTTACTCGTTAATTCGCCACACAATTGATCTTGTCAGAAAGCTGTCCCTGGTACCCGTTTTCTGCTGCTCACGCTTCGACGATTCCTTGGCGAGCTTTGTCTGGGTCTAGTCAGTCCGGGGGCCCGGTCGGCCAGCGCACTGTAGTAAACCTTGGCATGGAACCAGGAGGGGGAGAATCTGACCAAGCAGCCAACCAAGCTACATTACTACTCGGCGCTGTTGCCACGCCGTCATGTTGCAACGCTGCGCTGCGCGCGAGAGGCATGCGAGAGGCTCGCGTCACGACCATGGGACCAAGCGCGGGGAGGGGAGAGGCATTGCCGCTGCGGCAAGGCAAGGCATTAGCGGCGCGGCAGTCGTGTGCGGGTCTCTGTGGGGGACTGGCGTCAGACAGTGCTTGACGGCGTGGTGCGCTGAGCCGGTGCCCGGAAACAACGCCCATCAGAGTTGCCCCTGCACAGAAACAACTTGTGGGAATCCTTTCAGGTAGATACGCCCTATATTTTAACTCAGCAGAAAAGTAGAATAGGCTCCCCTTATAGCAGTTTGAGGAAAAGTTTGGAATTAGCCTAAAGCGGGATAATATTTGGTGATGTCGCGTTCCGTTGGTGTTTATTCTTTCGAAGCCATTGCAGAGTTTGGCTGGTGCATACCAAAACGTTATATTACTATTTTTTACCATTTCAAACCATTTCATGCGAACTTTTCCCAAGAAAAGCGCCAATATTGGGACTTTGGACATGGGCCGACACACATTGTAAGGCCACCTTTTAGCCAGCGGTTCTCAACCTTTTTCGGTTCACGACCCCAAATTTGTAGCCAAATACTTCCGCGACCGCCCGGAAAAATTTCGCAACCCCACAGGACCCCTCCTTTAGCATGCCTTTGTTACGGAGTAAGAATATATGCCTTAGTTTGGGAGCGGAGCAGTATTGGCTCAAAGTTGATCAACGGTAAAAATGGCCTTTGAAAAATCGTGTTTTGGGCCGACTTTAAGCAGCCACTGCGTCTGATCCGAGGCGGGCCTTCGTACTTTCTCAACGGGCATTTGGTCTTTGGACCTTCCTTTAGCATGCCTTTGTTACGGAGTGGGATTATGCGCCTTAGTTTGGGAGCAGTATTCGCTCAAAGTTGATCAAAACGGTCAAAAATGCCTTTAAAGTCGAGTTTGATCGACTTTGAGACAGTACTGAACCCCAACTAAAGCGCATAATCGCACTCCGTAACAAAGGCATGCTAAAGGAAGGTCCAAAGACCAAATGCCCGTTGAGAAAGTACGAAGGCCCGCCTCGGATCAGACGCAGTGGCTGCTTAAAGTAGGCCCAAAACACGATTTTTCAAAGGCATTTTTGACCGTTTTGATCAACTTTGAGCCAATACTGCTCCCAAACTAAGGGTGATAGTCGACTTCCGTAACAATGGCATGCTAAAGCAAGGTCCAAAGACCAAATGCCCGTTGAGGGAGGACAAAATACCGCCTCGAATCAGACGCAGTGGCTGCTTAAAGTCGGCCCAAAACACGATTTTTCAAAGGCATTTTTGACCGTTTTGATCATTTTTGAGCCAATACTGCTCCCAAACTAAGGCGGATAATCGCACTCCGTAACAAAGACATGCTAAAGGAAGGTCCAAAGACCAAATGCCAAGCCAAATGCCCGTTGAGAAAGTACGAAGGCCCGCCTCGGATCAGACGCAGTGCTTAAAGTCGGCTCAAAACACGACTTTTGAAGCAGTTTCCGCGAATTTATGTTCCCGGCAGTGCTTGGCCAGTAGGCCAGGCGGGAAACCGCCGCGACCCAAGGCGACCCCAGCCTCCTCGCCGCGACCTCTCAAAATTTTTTCGCGACCCCAAGGTTGAGAACCACTCACCTAAGCCAACCCAAGCCCGCCCCTACCTTGCCCCCCCCCCTCTTTCCCCCTCTTATCACGGATTATTCTCTCTCACCTTCGCTTTGGGCTGACTCTGATGCGGTCCTCCAATAATTTATTTAAAAGTAGTGCTAGTACTCGCTCAAACCCCTCCTTGTGTGTAAAGTGCGGTCGGGGAATTGTCTGAAGTCACTTCCTTTTTCCTTTCACATGTCTCTCGTAACAAGTTTAAGGATATGGCTTTCTTTCAGGAAATCATGTTGACCAACGACGACATATTTGCTTTTCGTCATGCTCCACCACAAGCTATTATCCCTGAAAATGGCTTCTATGCAGCGACTCAAACTAGGAATGCTAGACCAGATGATAACTTGAAAACACCTGCAGAAGAAATAAGAACCCATCCAGCCTCCAAGCAAGACGCCGTTCTTTGGCATGGCATGACGCTTGTTTTTGAAACAACACGTTTCCAGTCAAATGGAGATTCTTCCGATGCGCCGTGTCACACTGGAACTTTTGGTGTCTGTCCCATTTGTTCTGGCTTTTTCCAGCGGCTCGACCGCCACATGCTTTCCCACACGGATAGCCGTCCCTTTTCATGTACCAAATGCCGAGAAAGTTTTAGACAAAAAACTCATCTTCTAAGGCATCTCGAAACGCATGAACGAATGAAACTATTCCCGTGTTCTTATTGCGGTAAAGTCCTGACAAGAAAGGATAAGCTAAAACAACACATGTCTAGAACTTGTAAGATACTGCGTGAGTATTGATCTGTAGTGCCATGACTGATATTGTACCAGTGTACTGCCCTTTATTTTTATTTTTGGTTGTAAAGTATTTCAAATGTTATCGATTTAATGTAAATTATGTTAATTAAAGCCAATATTTTAGATAAAGTGGATGAGTTACAATTTGTATGCTCCTTTCCCTTCATGCACGTGTTAAGCCGCACGGCTTAACACAGTCCCTCGAAACAAGTAACTGAAGCTTCTGTCTCAGTGATCAAGGGAATGTCAAGGAGGAAAAAACAAAACTGAAAATGTTCATTTTTACTAATTGAATCAGCGCCACTTTTAACAGTACAGAACGAATTAACCTGAGACATTTAGGAACAACTGCATCCGTACTCATTTCTCTAGACAGCATTTGCCTAAATATGAACACAAAGCTTAAATGAATAGTCCGTTCGTTTTCAAACAAATTACTTACAAACAAATACTTGTGGATACAAAAAAAGTAGAAAATGGCACAACAATAAAATTTAGCGGATACTTTTTTTTTTATTTCCAAGGACAGAAAAATTGCGAAACAGATCACCGCATTAGCTAAAACGTAACAAATTTGTTCCACATTTTAAAAGTATAAACTATTTATAAATGATAAAATAATAAACAACAATGAAATAAGTACACCTCTTTCACAGATGATAAACAACGCCCCTGTAAATGATAAATTGCAAATCTCTAAAATACTTTACACAGTTCATTCATGATATGTGCATGAAAGCAGGAGCGTAAATCTCTGCTTCATATAACTCCTCTTTTTCTTCGTAATACAGCAAAGTTGCGAAGTACAAACAGTGCGACTTCCTAGAAAATAATGTACATACATTCAGCAAATTGTGTTCTACTTTGATATTTTACATCTTCCGTTTGCTCGGTTATGCCTCATCCGCAGTGTTCCATCAATAACCAGATACATGCTTGGAAGTTTGTATAGATTTCCCATTTTTCCACCCTCTAAATACACAGAAAATCTTACACTAAATTTAACAATCAACCGGATTTGGTTGTGTTGAATACAAGTCATGAGCACTCTTTTCCTGTGTGGGTCCTTCACACATGAGGGCCCCAAGTTTCAATGTAAAAAGATCTATCATCGTGCATAGAAACTTCAGCGTTTAGTGTAATTGACATCAAACAAAAGAAAATTGTTAGCCTATGATTTGATTTTTACAAAACCGTTGACTCACTCTTCTGATTGATTCATGGCCAAGATTTGATTTGAACGAAAGCTTTAAGCATGAATGAGCGAACAATAACACAGTCGTTACAAAGTTGCAGTAAATCTAACGACACTGCTCGCATAATTGACGAGATATCGCCTGATGGTGTCAAGATACACGCTCACACAGAGCTCACGACACAATTCAACAATAGTTAAATTAAATTCTGACACGCGGACGATGCAATTCCTTTGAAAGGTACAGGCTATGTTTGAATTCCAAGACATCTAAATACAAGTCAGAGCTTAAATTACGTTTGGACTAATTGTGGCAGTGAAGTCGCATGACTTTAGGTACATTATATACAGATATGATTTTGCATTTTCCTTGACATAATATACACGAGATATTTGCAATAAGTAACAGCCTTTTTGAAAGGCAGCGATATTACATAGCGTGGTGATTAGATGCCCCCTTTTATTGCTTATTGACAAATTCTACTTAATCATATTGTTCCAGCCAATCTATTACATTAGTTAACTACTAACACTTAAACAAAACTGCCATTTTCTTTTCAAAACTGTACAATAAAGATATATAAAAAAAAACAGAAACAACATGTACAAACAGTCCTTTGAAAAGTGTTTTAAGACCTTTGAATATAAACATTGATAGTGGCTTTCGATATTTATTTGCAATTTTCAGTAGGCTAAGCTTTATAATCACATCTCTCTGTACTTGAAGAGATTACAGGAGAGAAGATAACAATAGACATGTTAGCGCAAAGGCCAGTATCTTAGCAAAGCTTGTCCATAAATTTTTCGATTATGTAACAGTCACGGTTGTTTAGAAAAAAGTTAAAGCAACATGAATTTAACTTTTTTGTGTTGCGGATTGCAGAAGACTATTCTGCTGAAGGGCTACTTAAATATCTACAATTAGTTACTAACTTACTACAATGCTGTGACACAAGCATCTACCGACCCCTTATTTAGAATTGACAATTTTTTGGCGGAAATTTGTTTTACGTATGGTAAAAATAGTTTCAGTAGTTAAGGAATATTACCGTTCAGCGTAACGAGCTATACCAACGTCCTGGTTTGTACGAGTATTGTGCACAGTTTTATTTCATCCTGAATTCGTGTTATGAGGAACAGCAAGCAGAGAACGTTTATAATAAACGAAATCAAGAAACGTTTTGATTAAATTCCAATGAACCACATTCTGCCCTTCCAAAGATGGAGATAATTGAACTATGACGGTAAACAGTATTTATCCTATTATTGGTTGACAGCGAGCCACAGTTTATTACCACTGTGTTGAGACGATATTAAGATTCTGTAGACAAACGGGTTCTGAAGACACAATTTCTAGAGAGCGTGGTCCAAAAGTCAGTCTGTTTGAGTAAATCGATCTACGTTGCTGATCCTAATAGGATAATGTAAACTAAGTAGGTCGTTTCTAACTCACATGAGAAAAATATATCTGGTCACATGAGTGGGTCTCCAATCAGTCGACGAAGGCCAAAAGCGTAATTTGTACAACAACCAAAAAGCGACCATCTGAGTGGCATGTATGGTCGAGCACAGATGAACACTCTGTGCTCAAAGTGTAACAAACGACACACATTCTAGCGCTAGTTCTAGTCAGCCCTCACGTCCCTCATGACCACCGACGTGCTGCTGCCCCTTCCGGACCGGAAGCGGTCGTCCTCGTCGTCATCGCTTGCCTCCTCGTCGCCCTCCGTGCCCCTCTCGCCAGCGTCGCGCCGGGAGTCCTCCGTGCCAGTGGACGACGTGGGCGTCTCCAGCTGATCACCCTGGTCGGACGCCGCCGGGGAGGTGTCTCGGTCGCCGGAATGGTCCGGAACGTTGAGGTTCATCACCAAGCCAGTGCCGTTCCGACCCAACCTGGGCGAAGAGTTGGCGCTGCCTGCCTCGTGCTGCTGTTGGAAGCTCTCGATGTTCTTCACCGCCTCAAGAACGCTGCTACCGCCTAAGGGGCCTCCCACGGACCCTCCCATTCCCATGGAATTCCCCATGGAGTTCCCTCCCATGGAGTTTCCCATGTGCCCGGCCATGGAGTTTGGGCCGCTATAGCCGTTGTTGCCGCCGTACCCGGCCTGGCTCCCTGGTGGATGTGCCTGCCCTGGTGCTTGGCCAGGGGGGTGCCCTGGTGCTTGCCCAGGTGGATGGCCCGGTGGGTGCCCGGGTGGGTGCCCTGGTGGCGGTGGCATGGCGCGGCTCGTCACGGGCGGGCTGGGCAGCGGCCTTGAAGTGAGGCCGCTTCGAGCTGGGCCGCCCGCCATGGCACCCGCGCCGTTGCCGTTGGTGTTGCCATTTGCGGACCACTTTCGCTGCAGAGTGGACGTGTTCCTGGGAGGCAGCCCGGGCGGCTGGCTGTGTTGCCGCTGCAGCGACATTCCGTTGGTGTCTTCGGCCTGCTTGGGCACGCTGCGGCGTGGCTCCACCCGGGGCGGCGGGCCGCGCTTCATCGCCGTGCTCGCTGTGCTGGGCATGCCGCTGGGCATGCCGCTGGGCATGCTCCTGAGGATCTCAGCCTCCTCCGGCGGGGAGGGGCTGGGCGAAGAGTCACTTATCGGCGACGAGACCACAACCGGCGAAGAGCTCTGCACCCGCGACAGCGAGGTGAGGAGGCCGGAGGATGCTGGCTTGACTGGCAAGGGCGGCGCCTTCTGCGAGGCCAACGAGGGCGTCAAGGTCGACGTCAAGGCCGTGGTGGACGCGTCCAAGACCTCCCGAACTGTCTGTGAAAAAGGGAATGTGTTATGATCACCGAATAACCAGGCGGACCTCTAGGTGAGTTCTAGTACATTAGAGTCCAACTGATCATTTCGAACAGGGGCCGCTTTCGAGAACAAAGATTGGGCTTGGGCTCACTATATTTACACCTTTTCAGGATATCTGCTAGGTCAAAATTTACTTAATTATGCCAACTTGGAAAGCTTCTGGGTTACTTCGCTGTACAGGCAAGCAATCTATGAAAGTTCTACGAGGCCATCTCAATAAATGGACTGCATGGACCAAGCATGTGGTCTGTATGCGTTACTTGCAGGTCTGCCTTAATTTTGGATAAACGAGGGGAACACAGGAACATCATTGTACAGCGAATACAGGTTAATTTGATTCAAAAACCAGTTGCATCCAGTCTCATGAGCTGCGAAGAGCAACCTATTCGGGCGTTTCTCCTTCGTCCCGCCCTGAAATTAATGGACTGACACCACCAGGGTGTAACTTTGTGGTGTCATCCCTTTTGAATCCAATAACCTGTGACTGTTTTTAAATAACATGCATTCCATCACACGAACACGGGCCAACAAAACAAGGTGTAAATCATTGTACACCGTTACTCTAGGCAAGCTCGAAACCATGCGGCAGAAATTCCTCACATGCTTATCATGGGCGCACTCTAACTTTCAGTTTTTTTAAATAATTGGACAAACGTTTACTTTGTAGAAAGGCGGGGCCTTTTAAAATGAAAATCAAATTTAATTAATTGAACCCTACTTAATATTGAAATTGAAAGTGTGTGTGCTGCGTTCTACTGTATGTCTTTTTTTAGAACCAACGAATTTTTATAAATACCGAACGTTGCATGCGTGGAAATAACGACTTTGGACTTCTAGGAATAGGAGCATTGCATAAAATTAGTCTTATGGTTCTACTCATACTCGTTGTGTCAACGTTTACACCACGGGCGCACATAATAAGCCCCTACAGTGGCAGTGTAAAATAAAACTTTAAGAGTATCCCAGGAAGGTACAGGTACAGGTAAGCTATCTGTTTGGACATCAAGTTGGTCTCACACGGTTTCTGTACAGACATCTGTTTTCGGGCAATGCTACCTGGGATGGATTACAAGCAGAAAAGTGTACACAATAATGACAGTGGTCACCTTATTGCCACATTATTTCTCGTAACACATGTAAGTGCCTGCTTAAGTGCAAGTTTGTAATCAGCATTTTGACAGCCGTTTTGTGCACAGCACTGTATGCTTCTAAATACCGTCATTGTAAGTACTTGTTTAGCTAGGTAAAGCTAAAGGTGCTCAGCTTTACTACGTTCAAGCCTGTATTATTCTTACATAAGAGGTGTTGGTTTGATGTTGAATCAGTACCCCGGTCAAAGTCCCTGCTATCTTGGTACCTATTTCCTGCACAACATCATAATGCGAGACTTTTCTGTATAAAACTGTGTGCTTTCTGAAGAACAATATGCTAGCAAGTTGTTAAAAAAATTCTTTTCATATTTTTTATCTGTTCAGTCTGTGTTGATTTATGTCGGAATTTCTTTTCTTTTTTTCATTCTCCCTATCACCTTTTCATAAAAGTAGACACACGATTGCGCTATGAAAAGCAACAGACTACACACACAAAACGCCATGAAAGCTTCAAGAGAAGTTTTGACAGCTATTAGGCTACATTTAGCCTCCAAAAGAAGAAGTATACACCACTGAGGCACGCGCACGAAAAATGATTCATTCAGCAGATTAAGTCCATTGGGATGCCACATCTTCAAAGCCTCCAACTCGCAGACAGTCCTGAGAGTGTCCCGAACCAAAAGCATCAGATTTGTGGCAAACCGACGGGGAGAGTTCACTAACGAACCGACGTAATAAAAACATTGACTTTCGAGCAACAGGAGCTAAAAAGCAAGTGGAGGAGTCGGAATGAGCACATTACCTGACTTGCACGGCCAAATTTCTAGCAGATATCTAAGGACGCTGATTGTTTGAATGAAGTCTAGGTCTCGCCCCTCCTCCGTCTGCAGCATCATCACAGGTCCAAAGCACACGGCAAGATTTTGAGGGGTCATTTTGTTTCTTTCCGATTGTGAAACAACAAGGGCTAAGTGGTCCATGAGGTAAATTAATGTAGTCTGGTAAAAGAAAAAAAGTATTAATGTTGGGAAGAAGTGGCGTATCAGGTGAACAGGCAGAAAGCAGGTGAACCTACCCTGTTAACCTTCGGTAGACAGTCTAAAATGGAAAACATTAGCTTGGCATTTCCCTCGGGATCATCAGGAAGACATACAGTCAAAGCGTCCAGCATCATCTGGTACAAGCACTTCGTGAACAGAGGCTCCGGCAGTTCTCTCAAATAGTCCTTCAGCACGCCTGCAGCAAGAAATTTGTATGACATACACCTCTTCGATATTGAAAAAAAAAACGACAAGCACTTAAGTCCAATTTACCAGTAATGACGTTTATGTCCGGGACGTTGTCAGGCGTTAAGTCTACTGTTCGTGCGTTCCGTTCAAACGCCTCTCTGAGTATTCTTTTCTTAGTGGCTGAGCCGCATAATCTGTACAATCCTGCAAACACGGAAAAACATGCCGGTGAAGTGTCTTGCCTCAACGATCCAACAACAACCGTTCCAACACTTACCAATGATATCAAGTCCTCTCCTCTCGATCTCCTCGACGCATCTCCTGATGATGAGCGGGACTTGTGCGGTGCCTTGCGTGGCCAAGGCCACAGACGTCGGCACGCCTCCCGGCACGCCGCCAGACAGATTCTCCCGATTCACTACGGATTCTAAGTCGACTCCAAACAACAGTCCTGCTGTCGCTGTAAAAAAAAAGCAAGTTTGACCAGTCGCCCGAGTGCCTGGCACTGTCCCCAACTTTGTCTGCCGGCCTTACCTGCTAAAGACTTGGCCCCGGGTCGAGAGAGAAGTGGGTGGGAGGCCGCTGCCGGCTTGCGTGAGAACGTGGAGTGGGGGTCAGTGTGTCGCAACCGAAGGTACAGAGTCCCCCTGGGTTCTATTTTGAGCGCCAGTTGGTGGATGGGCGACTGGCGAAGAAGTGATGAGAGGTGGACCTGCGAGCAAACGAGGCGCGGTTAGACTTGGACGTGGGAAGCAAAGCGGCCGGATGCCAAACTCACCGATCCCTTGTAGCACAGCTTATGCCTGTACTGCGGATCCCAAGAGTAAATGAGGAAGTCCAGCTCCCTGTTGGAGACGAGGTCCAGCTCGAACGTCTCATCCCAGTCGAAGACGAGGTCCCCGGTGCGGACCACCGTGCGCGCCTTGTGCACCCTGTCGCACTCCAGCACGCAGTACAGGTCCCTGAGGGCGTTGCCGCTTCCGCCTGCAAATGAAGTGCGTCAGTGGCGCGGCCTGGCGGCGCCTGGCGGCGACAGTCGACCAAACTGCCAAGCTGTCCTCACCTAACGGCGTGGGGGCCGAGGGCGTCGACGGCGTGGTGGCGGTGGACGCGGTGCCGGACGCGCGGAGGCCCCTGCCGGCGAGCAGGTGCACCCACAGCAACCCGCTGACGCCGGGGCTGGCCGCCGCGTCGCCGAGCAGGTCGCCGGTCACGGAGGCGGTCACAGAGGCCACGCCGGGGACGACGCCGCCCTTGTCCATCTTGTACTTGAGGAACTCGGACGGGTTGATCTCCATGATCCGGGACCGCGTCGACTCGGGCACCACCGAGGAGGGTGTCCTGCTGCAGGGCAGGACGGGCGTGAGCACCGCGGGGGATGGCAGCGCGGTGCAATTGACAATGCACGCGGAAAATTCGCCTACCTGAGCGTGCCGCTGTGCCTGGCACTGGCCTCCAGCTCCAGCAGGTGTTGCCGCATCCTCCTCATGGACTGCGACCGCCCCACCGAGCTGACGCTGCTGAGCGCCGAGGCGGACGGCGACCGGCCCGCCCCGAAGGTGTGCCTGTCCAAGGTGGAGGTGAGCGGCGCGCGGTAGCCGTAGTACGAAGAGCCGTCCTGGAGGAAGATAATGAGCCAGTTTAAACCAAACGCCATTGTGCGCGGGCCCAGCGGGGAGGGGAGAGGAACACTTGCAACATTGTAGTTACCGCCACGCGATGCCACGCAAGGCGTGTGCGACAGGTGTGACAGGCCGGCGAGCGTGAAAGGCCAGAAAGGCCAGCGGAGGCCTGGCAGCACCAATGTGGGCGATTCAAACTGATCAAACCGGTTCTGAGAGAGTGTGGCGCTGGACTGGACCACGCGACTTGGCTCGCGACTCGCGGAAATGCAAATGAACTCACTTCTCTGGCGCGGTCCAGGAGGTTGAGGTTCTCGGCGGAGAAGGTGAGGCGGGAGGCGCGCTGGTGGGCCAGCACCGCGTCGCGGTTGGCGCGGATCCGCTCGTAGATGGCGCTGGTGGAGGGGGTGCGCTGCAGCCACGCCCGGTACTCGTCGGCGGTGAACACGCTGGGCGAGGACGGCAGCCGGCCTGGAGACACATCAAACACCCTCTGTCTCTCTCGCACTCGTGGGACGTACGGGTGCGAGAGAGACAGCAAGACGAAAGCACTCATGGAACCAGCGTGCAGCATCGCGTGCGGGACTGCGGAGAGGAATCCGCCAAAGACAAAGACGGCACCAAGTATGAGAACTTGGCGTTGCGGAAGCGGCCAAAAGCCGACTCGAAATACGCATACTTTGGGTCATCTTGACTCATTTTCGACTGCCGTCGAATTTTGGGCCCGCCGACGCGCTACACCACGCCGGGTTGTCCCTACCCCTCGCCAAGGCGCCCCCAGTCGCGGGGTATGGCGGCGTGCGTGCGCATACCGCGCCCACTGCCATCGATCGAGGCTGGTTCCAAGCTCTGTCTCTCTCGCACTCGTGGGGCGTTGCGGGCGGGTGCGAGAGAGACAGAGCGACGACACGCCACCCCGCCCGCTGGCCGGCAGAGCGGCATTCGGACAGGAAGCTGTGCGAAGCTGGGCCGGGAGGCGGCATCAATGCTGTACGCGCGGCGCTTCTGTTTTTGTCGCGCCGCATCGCGCCGCAAGCCGGAAGCAGAGTCACCCTGGCCGGAAATTCGCAGATCGCGGCCCCGCAGAGGCATCAATGCGCTCGTTACATGTGCACTACCAGCCCCGCGGGAGTGCGAGAGAGACAACAAACCTCTGACTCGGTCCCTGCGGCCGAGAGGCAGGTCGGGCGCGGAGAGCGCGCTGTCGCTGTCGTAGTGGTGGTCCAGGAGCTGGTGCGCGGCGGAGGGCGGCCGGCCGGACGACGCGAGCTGGTGGCGCGTGGAGGCCGGCGAGGAGGGCACCAGCGACCGCCCCAACGTGCCCACCCCCATGCTGATGGGGAGGCCGCCCGGCAGTCCGCCGGGGCCGCGGTGGTCGCGGGGCAGCGAGTTGGACCGCAGCGACCCGCCGCGGGTCAGGGTGGACGACCCCAGCCGCGACAGCGCCGCTGACGCCGCTGACGCCGCCGCCGAGCCTGCGGGAGAGAGAGAGAGACATTAGTGGCCGGTTTTTGCGAGTATGTCCTCGCGGCCCAGGCTGTCGCCGCCGACCCGCACCACCTGCCTGAACTGAACCCCACATTATCGTCCTTTCAATTCATGTGTGGAGCGGCTTGGTAAGTAAAGGTTGCAGAAAAAGTAGAACAAGCCGTGCCGTCGAGGGGGCAAGAGGAGGGGCATCGTTTATGTGGCTGGGAGATTGCCAAAAAAGTAAAAGGCGCAAAGATCGGTGAAATTAGTTGCGCGAAGAATTAGAAACACGTTTGCAGACTTCACGGGCGAATCGCATTCTGTTGCGCGCAATAGCTCGACGTTATGTCACTATTAACATAGCTTTTCTGCGCAGTACTTCTGCAAAAGCATACCCATGCTCACAGCGTCAGCAATGGTGGCTCTGCTTGCCGTATTTTTCGCCTCCTCAGCCGTTTGCCACTGTCGGCATGGCGACTGCCGCATTCGTGTTTCGCCACCCTCAGCGCGGATACACGCGCTTTTGGAAACAGCTGACATCAGCTGGCGGCTAAGTCAGTCGGACGAGCTGCGGTGCGAAGGGGGGCATTGGTTTGCTCGGTGGCGTCTGGTTATCAGCGTGTTATCGCCATGGCAACCATCCGGCCGGCCTTTGACCCGCACACCCAAACGCCCCTTTCTTCTCACGGTCGGGATGACCCCGGGTCAGAGAGCACGACCTGGACAATCACTGACTGATACTAGAAGGCTCGAAAGAGACAACGACACCCACCCTGCGCGCTGGACCGGTCCCGATAGTAGTAGTACGAGGAGCGCGTCGACGGCGAGCAGGTGGCCTCGGTGTCCGACGCGTAGTCTAGCGACTGCCGGCTGCGGCGGTAGCTGTGCTGGCCGTGCTGGCCGTGCTGCTGGCCGGCCGAGCCGTAGCGCCCCGACGTGTAGTGCGCCAGCGTGCCCGGCCGGAGCATGGTGTGCGCCGTGCGCTGCGGGGCTGGAACGGCAAACAACCAGTGTCAACACACTGTGCACCAAGATCCAAAGATTGGATTCGGCGCGCTGGACACTCACGGTGCTGGTACTCGACCCGCGGTAGGTGCTGGTCGCTGCCGGACCGCGGCATGTTCTTGCCCCGGCTGTAGTACTGCGGGGCCTGGCGGCCCTGCTGCAACCTGCTGGGCATCGGCTGCCCCGGGTAGAACGAGTGGACCTGCGGCAACCGGGCGACAAAACCGTCAATGCTTCTCGGGGCCCGCCAACACACGCTTTGCTTTGCAGTGTCGTCTCGCTCGAGATTCCCAGAAAAGGGGAACGATTCGTTACTGACGATAAGGCTTTGTGTACATAGAACGTTCCACTTGAACAAGCGAGGGGCGATAACAGCGCCTCGAAGGTGCGTTCGTTAGCCAAGACTCTCTTATCACAATACTAAGTGCACGCTAGTAAGTCACTCATGTGTGCGTAGTCATACTGACACAGATTAGAAAGGATCAGCGTGGTCAAATGGGTCAGTACAGAGATTACAGTCTGTATATGTAACGGTACGTCTAAAGCGTGGTTGTTCCACTTGCTTTCTTCAAATGCTGACGGAGACCTAAACACTCATAACTCTATCATTTTTCATCCAATTTCGGCAGAAACAAGTTTTTTTTTTCATTTTTGAAAAGCGTGAATCACCTTTGAGACTTCGACACAAAAAATTATCCGTGGTTACAAGTGAAATTTAAATAGAGGAATGAGAGTGTAGCAGCTACACTGTAGCTTCTGATGCACGCTGATCCTAGTGCGCTTTCTATGAGTTCTGCGTGAAAATGCTCCATGCAAACCAAGATGAAGGGGCCAAGCCTGGTGCAGGACGATAGACTGAGACAACGTTTATTCCTAAACGATATTGCGCTTCTGTACACAACAGTAATTTTACAGGATTTAATAAAAAACGATCAATAGAAGGTAGTTACATACCACCACCAAATTAGTGAGTTTTAAACCAGGGCGCTCTCGTTTCGGAACTCTCATCTTAAAACTATCAGTTGCTGCACTGCGGTAAACTTTTGTTCTCAGACAAACAACAAGTAATGACGGCCCTCTCTGAGTTTATCAGGAAAATGAGTGGTTTGAAACACGAAGTGCAGCAACCTGGCTTAAAAACTAAAACCGAGGGGCACATTCATGAATGCCGGCATTCGATTCGAGCACTCGGGCTTGGACAGCCTCGAGACGCCACCGAATAAAAGGCGGCAGAATGCGCCCCCGGCGACTAACTACAGAAAAGGTGCAGAGTAAAAGGGCGAACATACAGCGTATACCTTTTCCGCGAGCGACTCCAGGGTTTTGGGGTACCCCCGCTCATACGGCTGGAAGTGCTGCGGCCCGGCGGGCTTGGACTGGTCCGTGACCACCGGCGGCGGCGGCTGGTAGGACCACGTGGACATGCTGCGCTCCGGCCGCGAGTTGTAGTAGAGGTCGCCGAGGCCGCCGAGGCCCTGTCCCTGGCCCAGGCCCAGCCCGTTGTGCGTGCTGCCCATGCTGGCCATGCTCGCCATGCTGTCGTGGATGTCCTGGTGCGAGCCCATGCGCGAGGACAGGCCGAGCCGCGACCGCGACCCGGACATGGAACCGGGCCCGCGACGCCGACTCAGCGACTCCCTGCAAGCCGCGGAAGCCAGCGGTCAGCAACGGCCACTCTGCAAACTTTACTTTCACCAAACCAAAGTTGGAAATTTAATTTGTTTCCTTCATTATTATTCTCAAGATGTAATCTGCCTTTGTTGTCCGGTGCAGAGAACGACCTTGGTTAGGTTATGTCAGCTTTTGCTCTGGCTCGGCTATGCTAGGTTATGTCACGCTGTTAGGTTACGTCAAGCTGTTAGGTTATGTCAAGCTGTTATGTTATGTCAAGCTGTTAGGTTACGTCAAGTTGTTATGTTATTTCAAGCTGTTCTGTTATGTCAAGCTGTTAGGTTATGTCAAGCTGTTAGCTTACGTCAAGCTGTTATGTTATGTCAAGCTGTTAGGTTACGTCAAGCTGTTCGGTTACGTCAAGATGTTAGGTAATGTCAAGCTTTCAGGTAATGTCAAGCTGTTAGGTTACGTCAAGCCGTTAGGTTATGTCGCTCACTCGTGGATGTCGTCGTGCAGCTGCTGGTGCTCCTCGTCGTCGCGCAGCTCCTTCTTGATGACGACCACGGGCGGCGCCTTGTGCTGCGACTGCTGCAGGTGCGGGGCGCCGCCGCCCTTGGTCTGGCGCGTGACGAGCACCAGCCGCCGCGGGATGGACATGATGATGACGACGTCATCCAGCGACATCCTCGTCACGTCCACCAGGTTCACGGCCAGGATCTCGTCGCCGACCTGCCGGACACGACGGCGTGCTCAGAACGGACTACACTCGTTGATTTTTCAAATAAGGGAAAGGTATCTCCTGCTAAAAAATGATTAGGCAATCGGCCTTCCTTTATGCGTATAAGACCATCGGAATTGTCTGATCCGGCGAGGAGTCACCTTCAGGCAGCCGCTGTTGTAGACGGCGGACTCGAGGGCGATGCGGGAGATGAACACGCCGTCGGAGCGCTCCATGCCGTTGCCCTCGCGGATGTACAGCCCCAGGGTCTGCCCGGGCCGCTTGACGATCTCCACGAGCTGCACGGTGTGCTTGGCGTCCTGTGGGGCAGAGGAGGGGGCGGTTACTCCACGAACGATTCGCCGCCGTTCCCGGCCGTTCCGCCACCGCAATGACACTCACCTGCATGGCGAAGAACCGCTTGACGTGGTCCGCCGCCTGCCGGCCCACGGCGCGCGGTTCCAGCAGCCGCACCACCATCTCCCCCCTCCGCTCCACGGCGTCCAGGGCCGCGGCCGTGGTCGCGTCGTGGTCGTTCTCCACCGTCTCGATCTGCCGGAAGATCTCGCTGGAGATTCCGCTGACCTGGCGGAGGGAACGTAAGAGGGTTCAGTTGGTTAGAGTCTTCCCGAGAGGCGATTTCCGCCGATTCCACCAATGTGGCGTTGAATGAGTACCTTTCTGAAGTCGCCCTGGATGACCATGGGCGGTGGGTCCTTGGGCCGCAGTCCCTGCTGGCCGGGCTGGCCGGGCATGCCGGGCTGGCCGGGGTGGTTGCTGGGGAGGCCGGCATGGGGCTGCCGTCTGGGACTCGTCGCGATGTCGGGGGTGTTTTCTCTGCCCTCCTGCAACACAAAGACACTTTCAAGTTTCGGCTTGATGAGGCATTCCATTTATCATCATTCGTTCGGAAAGCGGGTACTCCCCACCATTTCCCCACCGTTCCCCGTTTGTTGGCCCCCAGACGAGAGGGGACATGCGGGGAACGGTGGGGAAGTGGTGGGGGAACCCACTTTGCGACCCAATCAGCGCTGCCTCCTGCGGCGTCTTTTTTGAGGCGGCTGCAAGCCGTTACCGTGTGTGTGTCACCGTTACCTAGGCTCTCTAACCGTTACCGTGGGGTGACAGTGTGCGTGTAAATGGTTGCGCGACTGTGTGTGACTCTGGCCGGTCCCTTGCCTGCCCAGTCTCCGCGCCAGGGAACTCCAGTCCTGAAACACCCTAAATAACTGATGTGTCCCTGTGGACAGGATAGTACTATGGGCGCGCTGCGGCGAAGGGTGGGGAGGGAGGGGGTCGGGGGAAGGACCGTGGGACTGGACGTGGAGGGCGGCGACTACGTCGTGCCGCAGCGGGGTCCACTACCTGCCGAAGGGTTTCAGAAGGGTTTTCGAGGGTTTGTTAAGGCGACTAGGGGCCCCCTGTGTTGCCCATCAACCTCACTAAGTAACAGTGAGAGGCTCATGCTTGACAGAGCCGTTTGTTGAGCGTCCATCCTTAAACCTTCAACCTTAACGTGAGACGACACTACCTCCTCTATAGCAGCTCCACCCCCACCCCCTGACCGCAACCCTCCCGCCCAAGCCACCTGGAGCACGCAACACGCACACACACACAGAGCCCGCAGTGTGTGAATGCGTTCCGGGCGACGCCGTGGGGACCCACAACCTCCTGGCCGCGATGTGCCATGTGCCCCTGCCGCACTGTGGGCCTGAAGACCGCTGGAGGCGGACACAACCCTCGACGCGTTTTGAGCTCCACAGTCGCTAAATGGGACTCGAACCGAGCGTGTGACCCCGCCAATGGATTGCTCTTGGAACGAAGAATCCATTGGTGGGGTCACACGCTCGGTTCGAGTCCTGTTTAGCGACTCTGGAGCTCAAAACGTGTCTGGAGTTGTGTCCGCCTCCACCGGTCTTCTGGCCCACTGTGTGCCGGGGCCGCCGGGGGCTACTCGTCTGGTTCCGTGCGGGGCCCGCACTGGGGCCCGGCGGCCCGCCACGGCGCGGCCTGCAGCAGGTCCGCAGGGTCCGCAGCAGGGCGTGCAGGGCGTGCAGGGCGTGCAGGGTGCCATTGTGAATAAGGGCCGAATAACCCAGCGGCGTAGAGTACGCGCACTGCGGGATCAATAGCCTCCACCGCCCCCACCGCGCGCCACCCCCGCCGCCCCCACCGCCCCCGGCGCCGCCTTCGCGACCGCCCCTCGTTCCACTGCACCCTGCTGGTCTGGCTGGGGGCCTGGGGGCAGGGGGCCTGGGGGCGGTGCGGGCGGCTCTCCAAATAATATCTGTCCGCCCCCCGCGGCCCCCCCGCGGCCCCCGGCCCCGCAGCCAGACGCGGAGGCTGCCCGGCATGCTGCCCGGCATGCTGCCCGGCCGGCCGGTCCATGAGCAGACGCATTACGAATGACGCTTTCGTTTGGCCCGTTGGCCGCGCGCACTCATTTCGTGAGTCTGGCTTCCTCCAAGTGTCACCTGTTTGCACTCGGACAAGTGCATCGTCCTGCACTGTAAAAAATTCCGTTCTTTTGTACGGAAATGGTACAGAAAAATGTAGTACGAAGAAAAGTACGGGAAGTTCCGTACTTGCTCCATATGAACCCATGTAAATGGGTACGGAAAAAATGTACGGAAGGTTCCGTAGTTGGCAAGTACGGACGTTCCAAGCAAATTATTGACCAGACATGTTCCGTACTTTTTCTCACAGTGTAGCCGCGCCTACAGGGCCACCGCCCAATCCGTGGTTGCGAGAGAGGCACATTATCAAAAGTTTTATCGTCGTGCGCAGAGTGACGAGCCTCCTCCAAACACGGCAGCAAGACCTTTCAGCAGGTTTGCATCCGCGAGCTGGGCCGCGCCGCGCCGAGCGGTCAATGTCACGCTACATAGTGAAGGGGCACTGCTGCACCGTCCCGCCACGCACGCCGTAGCGCCGTGAGCGCGGGGGCGGGGGAATAGCCAATGCAGAGCCGCCATTGAGTATGCGGGGACGTGGTGGCGCGACACTGCGCGACTCGGTGAGAACGAGACCACTGGCTAATAAGGCAGACACACTGGCAGGCAGACAGGTGAAAATGGATCAAAAATGTTTCCCTCTCGCATTAAATTTGCGTGTGTTAGGCATGTGAGTAGGCGCGAGAGTTGGGGGCGGAGGGACACTGGGGGCTGCCGCCGGGGCCTGCACGTGCGACTGACATGACTCGAAATAAGCAGAACAGTGGGACCCCGCCCCGCCCCGCCCCGCCCCCTTCGGCACTCGACGCGATATTGTTTTCCGGATCATCCCCCGGAGCTGGAGCCGGCACTGGAGAATAAAGAGGAAGGACAGACATGTTGGAGCGATTCCCCCGCGGGACAGACAGCGTTAGACGGCGTCTGACGTAGTGGCGCAGTGACGTATAGGGTCCTTGAGCGGTGCCCCCGAGGGGGCGCCGGGGGGCCTGCCGTCGCTGTGCCTGCTCTGCCTGCTCCGCCCCCCTCGCACTCGCGGGGGGTTCCATGGGGGTGCGAGAGAGTCGAGGGTGTCGCGGGGGCCGCGGTGCCAAAACCCGCAGGCTTCGCGATCGCTTTTTTCGCCGCAGGCAATTCATTTTTTCGCGTGTGATAATTACTACGCTTTTGGCGCTCGCGTGCCCACCGCCCCGTAGCCTACCGGTGGACCATTTCGTCGCTCTGTCTCTGTCGCACTCATGGGTGCGAGGGAGAGAGAGAGACAGAGCGACGGAACGGTCGGCCGAAGCCGGAGGTGGAATCCACAATCCAGCTCCATTGCCGATCCCCCCGAGGAGGGGGTCAAAGAGGTGCACAGTGTGCCAAATGATGTGTCGGTACTTTTTGATCCAGAGTCATACCACGCGGTAGTACTCTGGTATCTCTCAGCAGCATCGCGCTTCCCGCAATCGCGTGATGCGGGCCTCAGGCAGAACGGCTCGCCGGGGCCGGTTGGCTGGGCCATGGCAGGCCTGAATGCATTTGGGGGGGGGGGGGGGGGGGGGCAGACGGTGACTGAACTCTGTGTGTGTACCTGGGTGAACATGCATCCATTACGCATGCGCAGTCATGAAAAGGAGTGGGCAGTCTTGTCCTGGCCTTCGCTCCGAGCACTCCGCCAAACCGAGTGTTCCCATATACATGCCAAACGCCTATGGTCACATGGCTCCGAGTGGCTCTAGTGTAACGGAGTGTAACGGAGCCGCGGTGATGCAAGGTCCGTAAACGCGAGCCGAGGTGGCGGCGCGGCCTGCCAGTGCAGTGGAATGCCAGGCGTGGCGACGCCTCGGATGCAACAACGTGCGCAGTACGTACACTGCCATTTGACCGAGTGCGTGCAAGCGTCGGTGCGTCGCGCTGAAAATACCTAAGTACTATTATCAATTCTGACACATTTCTCAGGGTTAGAAATGTCTTCTTGGGTCAAGCCAGATGGAAACAATATGTAGCTCTCTGAATGGATTCCTTAGCGATCCGCCCCCACGTGCGGTGGGGCGAGGAACCCTGGACCGAGCCTCGGATTCGACAAGGGCAGAGTACTGACCTACATCACTTTTCTGATTTAGCTTCCTCCTTGCAGTGTAGCTTTCACCCCGTGGCGCCACGCTGCGCCACGCTGCGCCACGCTGCGCCACGCCGCGCGCTGCGCGGGGAAGCCCACCAAAGTTCCAACTTGGAGCTGACTACCCGGCCCGGCCGGCCCAGCGGGGCGCGTCGCGCTTCGCGGGTCGGGCTCCCCGTCGTCACCGTCTCGCTGCTCGCGGTGGACACAGTGTACAGTCTCACAGGGCGGAGGGCCCAGCGGCCCAGCGCCAAGGGATGGAGCGCATGAAGCCCGCAAATGGTCGGACAGTCCGGCCGGCAGTCCGCTTAGGTTTCCCAGCTCGCAACGCCCGGCCCAGCCCGGACGCGCCCCCAATCCCACTGCCTCTGCGGCGCTTTGCGGCGTTTCACGGGTACACTCCAAAAAAATTTGGCTGCCTCTAGATGACAATGTCAAGGCTGATTTCCCGTCCCGCCACGCCCCTCTGAGGTAGCATAGATGACAATTTCATCAATGTGGGATGAACTGTTCATAGATTTCTACACACTTAAAGTTGTCTCGTCAAGATTGTGTGTATTTTGGTGAAATTGACTATAGTATGATGGTGCAGCTGAGATTATAACATAACATTGAGAATTCACTGTACCTTACAGATATTTTGACGAATTTCGTTTGTATTTGGACAAAATTTTCACCATAATGGTGGTGCAGCCTTCCACCATAAGACATTTAGAGTGTAGCGTCGATTTCTGGTCATGTAAATGCCACTGCCACGATTTTGTCGTAAAGTGAATATAAATTCTCACAGGGTAGGGGACAACCGCGAGGCGACAAGACAAAGTCAATTCTTTTGTAATGTCGGGGTCAGGGTGCATTGCGGTCGAGACAGCGGTGCATTGCGATGCGTAGAGGGATGTTGGTTCATCCACGCGTGCCCCCCCCCCTTCCTCCCCACAGGAGGGGTCGCGCGCACAAAATAGGAGAGGCCCGCGACACAAAAACTTAGCAATGATTAATCTATTTGACTTTTTTTTTCACAATGTGGAAGTGTGATGGGCCCACCACTGTACAGCTGTCAGATAGATAACCTGGACGGGCCGCCTGGACCCGGCACACGCGCCTAACCAAAAAACACAGAGAATCCTCTCTTATTGTTTCGCCCGACACACTATAAATTGCAGTTGGAGGATAGGTTTCTGAGAATACCTGCGTAATTCGGTGTGAAACGAAATGTACGTCTCACTTTTTTACGGACGCACCGCACGCACAGAAATCGACGTAGGAATTCCGATTATGATTCTATGCTAGTCTT